ATATGTATTGTAATTAATAAGTTATTTCCTTTTAATTATTGCGTGGTTTGATAAATTAATTTTGACTGGAGTCTGTTTGTTTGTAGAGCTGTCGAAAACAATTCGCAGAATTTTCCATTTCCGAGACTCAGGGCGAGTCAGGCTCTCTCTGTCTCACCATCTTTTCTTCCTTTACACCCACCGACAATTCACATCCGAATCCTCGTCTTTCATAGAACTTGTTCTGTTCGATCGCAATGCATGCTCTCAAGGACAAGGTTTCGCAGAAGCTTTCTAATCTTTTCGCCGATTCCCCTACTCAATCTGCCTCTCCCCGCTACTCCCTCTCCGATTCTCCAAAGGTACTTCCTTTCTCTCTCTCTCTGTCTTCCCTTATTCCCACAATTCGGAATCTACAAGCCTTTTTTGTAGGTCTTATTGAGCGATGATCTCTTTTCGATCATCTGTCCCTATTGTTGTTGCCCATTTTCCTGAGATTTGAATCTCGTTTCTTCTTCTTCGTGGATCATGTTGTGCGAATCCAAAAGATCGTGCTTTAATTGCTATGCTTCTTGTGACTTTTTGATCTGTTATGCCCAGCTCGTGACATTAAGCTTTTGAATGTGTAGGCCAGGCTCAATTCCAGTTCAGGGAAATCTCTGTCTTCATATTTCTCTTTTGGTGCTCCTCAATCTCGAAAGGAGGATGCCGAATCATGTCCTCCTCCCCCAATCAGAACAGACAGCTACGAGTCTGTTGAGAATTACAAACATGGAAATGGGCAAAATCAAGCCGGGACAAGGATCTCGAATGGCGACGACAATGAATCAGATAAGGACGGTGCATCTGCGAAAGTAGAAACCGGTATTGATCACTTTGATAAGATGAAGCAGATGACGGAATTAACAGAAAGCTCTGTTTTTATTACTGCCAAATTGTGTGAATTCTTGCACGCGTGTCTTCCAAACATTGTACGAGGATGCAAATGGATCTTGGTATACAGGTGAAAAGTTTATCTCATCTCTTTTATTGGATACTTTAGACTTCTCCTTTTGGTGTTAACTTTTATCGGCTGAAGGGCAGTACGTTGAAACATGGGATATCACTCCGTACGCTTCTGCGTAGAAGCGCAGAGCTTCCTGGCCCTTGTTTACTGGTTTGTTTGCCGGCCTATATCCTCTTTCCATACGTTTTGACAAATTTAAATGGGACATATCTTAGTTTATGATGAATGGGTATGGTGCAGGTTGCTGGAGACAAACAAGGTGCAGTTTTTGGGGCTCTGCTGGAATGTCCATTGAGACCTACTCCTAAGAGGAAATATCAGGCAGGCTAATTAATTGTGATAATATTCACTCTCTGGAGATTAATTGATTTCCGTATTGCTGATTCTCTCACATGTTTTTGATGATAGGGTACAAGCCAGACATTCATGTTCACAACTATTTATGGTCAACCACGCATATTTAGACCTACCGGTAACTATTTGGACCATCTTTTTTTCCTAGTCTTTTTCCTTTTCCTTCAGGAATTTTTATAGGTATAGGATAGATATATGGGAAGAAGAGTATTAAGTGTAGAGAATATTGAAAAGTGAAATTTGAGGAGAATGCTCAAGTCTCTTCAAACACAGATCTTGAGAATATTGGCTCCAACTGATTCTCATCAGAATTTTTCCCAGCTCTTGTCAGCAACTGGATCCACACTGGTTTTAGGTAGTTGAATTGTTGCTATACCACCATGTGAAAAAAGGAAAATAGAGTTAAGTAGATGATGCAAGGGGCAAGTAACTTGGTAAGGATAAGTTGCAGAGTGGTGCAGTTAGGGACTTCTCTAAAGAATTTGTGTCCAGGTGCAACCGATATTACTGGATGTGTAGTTAGGGACCTCTCTTAAGAATTTGTGTCCAGGTGCCACTGATATTACTGGTTGTGTAGTCAAGGACCTCTGTTATGAATTTGTGTGCAGGTGCCAACCGATATTACTGGATGTGTATGAATGAGTTTTTGGCGTTTGGAGGTGGAGGAAACTTTGCTCTATGTTTAGATGAAGATTTGTAAGGCACAATCTGGCTCCATCTTATTTTTAAAAAATTCCCCTTTTAAACGTTTTGATGATAAACCAAACGTTTCTTACTTGAACAAGGTTAAAGGCAACAAGTGGGCCTTCAGAAACCTTTGGGAATGAATGCTTAGCTAACAGCACGGAGTTTGAGTTAAAGAATGTCGAGGTAAAGCTATATTCCACAGTGACAATCTTATTCAACATATTACACAATCTTGCTTGGATCCTTGAGTAATAATGAGTACAAGTTCATGTTGTTAAATCTGCAGCTCTGGGGATTTGCGCACGCGTCTCAGTACCTATCCTCCTGATCTCTTGGGGATCCCATTCTTTGTCGGGAATCAATGTACCTCAACAGAAAGCTTTCCGACTTTTTCAATCCATTAATTGTTAAAGAGTGATGATTAGGGTAAGACAGTTTCCAGGCTTTAAACTGTTGAAAGAGTGAGGGTATTACATGTGAGTGTATCTGTGTTACTGAAAATACTAATTCAGCTATGACCTTTATTTGAGATTGTAACTCGACAATAGTGTTATTGTTTGTTATATATATCAGAATCATATGATTTCAGGAGTTGTATCAGAGTAGTGGCGCACACAAATTTTAGATGAGGAATTGTTTTTTGAGTAACAAAAATAAAGATGATAGGTTTGGACAAAATACATCTAGACAAGAAGAACAAGGAGAGTGTTGTATACATCTAGACAAAGAGAACAGAGGAAGGGTGTGTTCCTTTTTAGATGCTCAAGCGAGGAAGCCAAGCCTCTCTCCATTCTTCTTAGCAAGCCTGATGAGTCCTTGTCTCTGTTTGGCATCTGCTCCTATGGATTTGCAGAACTCTGTGATCACCTGAAGAAACAAAACCCATTTTCCAGAAACTGACGGATTCTGCTTTCTTTAGAGTTTAGAGAGAATGGTTGCAGAGACAAACCTGAGAGTGCAAGGCAATGGCTTTGCCTCGGAGCTGATTAAACCTCTTCTTGCCAACTATGTTGCGAGTGACAACGACGAGAGGTGCGAATAAGCCTTTGCCTTCGTTGACATTCTTCATCATCGGCTGTGCTCTGATGGCTTTCCGTGAGACTCGGGCTTGTCGCGGTGTCTTGGCGAGCATGGTGTGGTAATCATCGCCGGAGATGGAACTTCCCCAACCACCATAGAAGGAAGTTCCGAGCAAACCTTGATTTGCAGAAAGCGAAGCAGCCATAGGAATCGGCTTCTCTCTCTGCTCGATGCTAATGGTAGGGAGAAAGAGAAATTGAGTGTGTGTGGTTTGTTTTCGAGTTGAACATTTTGGTGTGGACGAGGTTTGGGTGGTCTTCTGGTTTGGATGGAGAAAGGAGAGCCACACATATGATTCTGC